CAGGGATTCCACCCTGATGTTAGGCTCTGTCCTGCTGCAGGCAGAAATGGCAATGTATGGTAAGGGACCCATACTCCCACCCATCACCAGCAGGGCAAGGCTGCTTCCCAAACACCCTCTTCATGATCTTCCATCAGGAGGGCTTATCTCCTAACAAAAGACCAGAGAGCAGCTGCTCTGGAACCGTACTGGGAGGGGACTTCTACGGCATTGCTGGAAACAAACGCAGCAGAGACTCCAGGTTGTGGGTTCTGGAGCTCCACAATTTCACCCAAGACCATGACTCAGCAGTCCACAGACCCTAGGAAGTCACTCAGAGGTCTATCAGCATAAGTGGCTCCACAGGGGTCTTCCAGAAAAAACTCCAAGGGGGTCTCACACTGGGGTCTCGTGGACCCCCTAGAAATTCACACCAGGGGGGACTCATACTAGGTCCTCACAGACTCTCTAAACCCTAAACCATCACTCCAAAGAGGGCCTCACAGTGTAGGGACCCTCTAGAAAGACACACCAAAGGGGACTCACAATGGGTTCTTAGGGACCTTTCAGAGTATCATGCCAGGGAGGACTCATACTGGTTTGTCAGAGTGCCTCTAGAAACAGCTACCCTTCAGAAATAGACCAAGCCCTTTATAGAAAGTTGTTGACAGTGGACAGTCTCCATTTAAGATGTCATTCCAGGACACCTTCTCATTTCTGTTTTGGTTTTTATTTGCTTATAATCATTTGCTATAATGTGTATCTGGAAGGTCTCCCAAGGGGGCATGTGTTAAATCTTGGTCCTCAGCCTGTAAGAGGTGGGGCCTACCGGGAGTATAAAGTCACCGTGGGTGTGCCTTTGGTTTTGTTACGCCACTTGCTTCTGCCATGATATGCTGCCCACCTCCCCTAACCCACCAGGGGCTTAAAAGCAAAAATTCTGCATATCGTAGACTGAAACGTCCAAAACTCTGAGCTAAAATAAGCCATTTCTCTTTGTAAGTTGATTTCTCTCAAGTAGTTGTTACGGTAATGGAAGGCTTACTAGCAGAAAAAATGGGTTCTGAGAAGGGGAGCTGTTGTTATGATGATAACTGATGAAGTGGACAATCTTTGGGGATTGGTTTAGGGAAAGAGTTTAGTGAAGTTTGAATAATCAGACTGAAGAAGGACTAGAATGCTTTAAGGGGAGTTTAATGGCTGATTCTGGTTGGGGATCTGACCGGAATGCTGATAGGAACGCAGATTGAGAAGATTGGGTTGATGAGTCTTCAGATGGAAATGACAGCTCTACTGGGAATTGGACTAATGGCCAACCTGTGTTACATCCTAGACAAGAACTTGTCTATATTTTGTTCACGCCCTGAGACTTTGTATGAGACTGAGTTTAATGGTGACAGACTAGTTTATCTGATACTGGTAATTTCAAGGCAAAACAGCATTCAGGCAGCAATAAGGGAATTATTGGCTGCTTTTGGTCAAATTTATAGTAAGTAGGAGCAAAAACAGAGCAAAACGTTTTGGAAAACTTCCAGTTCATCCAGAAAAGAAGACTGTGCAAAGGTTTAGCCAAGGAGGATGCAGTTGCTAAAGAGATTAACACAATTTTTAAAAAGTCAAGTGCTTTACACTAGGACAATATGAAGGATGCCTGGAGGGCATCTCAGAATGGGCAAGGCCTAGTCATCAAAGGTTCAGAGTTGTATAAGTGCAAATTTGTTTCAAAGACTTTCCAAGGCAGAGCCTTTTGAAAAGAGAACCCTTCCCATCTAGGACTACCTAAGCTAGCCAGGCCCTCAGGCCAGGCACAGCTCAGGCTGGCAGCAGACCTCGCATCATCCCTGTTGCTGGTTTTGCAGGCATGCAGAATACAGGAATTACGGTGTTATGGAGGCTGCCACCAAGATTTCAAAGGAAAGCCTGGGAGGACAGGCCTGTGTGGCAGGGTTGGAGTCCCTACAAGCATCAGGGTGTTGTGTGGAACTGTGAGAGTGAAGCCCAAGCTGGAAGGAAGCCCCAGGACGTTAGAGGTACCAGGAGCATGAAACACACTGCTGAGGGAACTGCAGGCAGGAAGCAGAGCCAGCCCAGGAGAGAGGCTATGTGGGCGGCAACCAGGAAAGCCAGGGGCAGGCTTGCCCAGCTCCTTGGGGCCCACATCCCACCAGACTATGCCTAGGATGCCAGACCTAGAGCTATAGGACTTAATGTTTGCCCTGCTAAGCTTTGGTCTTGCTTTGGCCCAATACTTCCTTATCATTCCCCTATTCCTTCATTTCAGAATGGGAATTTTCACCCTGTGCCAGTTAAGGAACAGTTAAGGATTGGGGGACACTTGGAGATAGACTCGGTGCACTTTGAATTGTGAGATGAACATGAGCCTTTGAGGGTCAGGTGTGAATTCCCATGGTTTGCATCTGGAATGCAAAGGTCACCCAACATCCCTGTGTTAAAGGCCTGATTCCCAGCTTAATGTTGCGGGAAGGCAGTGGAATCTTTAAGAGGTAGGGCCTATTGGGAGGTTTGAAGTTACTGGGGAGGTGCTTTTGAGGAAACTGTTGGACCTCATTCTCCTTCTCTTCTCCTTTTTGTGTCCCAGCCATTAGGTGAACTGTTTGGCCACATGCTGCCCATGTCCTACCAGAAGCCTGAAAGCAATGGTTCTGCCCAATCGTTGACCCTTTAAAATAAGCCTTTTCTCTTTATAAGTTGACAGCTCAGGTCCTTGTCACAGACACGGGAAGCTGAGCAACACACACTCCTCCTGTTCCAGCAGGCCCCTGGCTGGTACCCTTGATGATGGCTCCCGTCTCTTTTCTTTTCACTATATGGTATCTGTTAGGCCAACATACTGCTTTCAGTGTCAACCTTAGATCATGCCACATCCCACCACGGTCTTCAATCTTACCGTCCACCCACTGTGCCACTGGTTGCCAGAGCCCCAGGATAACAATAATGGTAACTGTTGCCTGGTAATTCTAGTGTTGTCGATTGAGATACTGGAGTATTGTAGCTGATGGTTTTTCCACTTGCACAAACACGGGCAAGGGACCCTACATAAGTCAGCTAGTTGTGACTTTGCTAGTTTCACCTACCTTCTAGGAATACAAATGTCTATTGATCAGTGAGAAAATCTATTGGTTAGTCTAAATTTGACTTCAACAACCTTCACAGAGCAATGGAAGAGACGTCTGCAGACCGTGTGTGACCAGCCAACAGAGCCTTGGTTCAGCTCTGTCCTGAGCAACGATTCTTTCCTGGCCTCCAGGTGACTCTGCCAGCACTGCTGCCTTTGAAACCAGGAAATCTCAGGGCCTGTTAGTCTTAGACTGACTGGTAGCTCATGTACCTCATGGAAAGAGGGTTATGAGACCTCTCTGCATGGAGACCTTGATCCTACAAATTGCTGTGGCTGGGAATTCTGATTCAGATTTGTGTCCCAACACAAGGCCACCTTCATCACTCAGGAGCTCTTCTGGAGGAATAACTGACTTACTGCTCAGTGCACAGCCAGAGCAGTGCTTCCCTGTGGGAACCACACAATGAGAAGACTGCCGGACCCACCACTGACCCTGGCAGAAGTGCTTAGGGGTAGGGCAGACCGACCACCTGCTGGCACCCTTCTTATTGGCTGGTCATGGTGGCATCTGCAGCATGGCTAACACTTGCTGGGTGAGGATCAAGGGCACAAGCCACGCATCACTGGAGGGAAAACACCACTGGCTCGCCAAGCCTCGCAGCCTGGGCCCTGGGGCACATGGACCCAGTGCACCTTTCAGGGACACACCACTTTTTTTTCTGTCACAGTGGTCATGGCTGTTTCTATCCAGAGTCCCATGTGTGTCAGTGCAACCACTCTCATCACGGACAGCTGAGATGGCATAGTGGCCAAAGGTCATGACTCTCCCAGCACAGGTGAGCATGAACAAATCTGGACCCCAGGCGAGAGTGACCAGAAGGGGAGACTAAGACACTGGCTCTGCACACTGGGGACAGCTAGGCCACAAGTGGCAAGAGGGTATTGGTACCTCTGCAGCAGCCTGCCCAGGGAGCTCGAGCACAGCTCGAGCACATTGTGAGCATTTTGGCCCACAATGGTCAGGACCTGGCAGGTGACCACAGCTTCCCACCTCCCACCCAGGACCAGCCAGAGCAGGCAGATATGACCCCTAAGTAACTCACATGGGATTCTGATGGTTGGGAGTCACCTCCAGTTCACAGGCCCCAGCTGCCACCAGCTGCACACCTGGGACCCACACTCAGTCTACAATGCAACATTTTCCTGCCCTGCCTGTGACAAGAAACGGTGGCCAATCCCTTGCCATAGCCACTTTCACGGACACTGCTGCCTGTTCTCAGAGGGCTCCCTGTTTATTTTCACAAAGTCTGCCTCATTACTTGGCCATCCTCATTTTTGACAGAGAAGTTTAATTTCCTGGCTCAATCCCCGTCTCTGGATCAAGACACTAAGAGGAAACACACAGACACTAAGCTCTAACTCACCGTCAAAAGCTCACAGTGCCACACACACACGTGCACTTCCACTAGCAGGCAAGCACACACCCCATGTCTCCAGCTCTGTCTGTCCATATTGGAGCCCAGCCACACTGACTCTCCTGGGAGGCTGGCTGTGGTGGTGGGGTAGCAGGACAAGGGTGGTGACAGTGGGGCTTGGTGCAGGGCCATGTGGCCCAGCCTGGGGGTGAGCAGCAGCCCTGGAAGTCAGTGTGGTGTGTTTTGAGGTCAGGCTGGACGTATAGGGGCAGGGTCTGAGCAACCATGAGTGAGGTGGGCTTCTCCAAAGTACATGTGCTACGAGTGGCTGGCTTCGGGAGAAAGGAGGGATGCTGGCCCCTCACCAGGTGGACAGGAGTTGGGAAGAGTAGCTGGGAGGCAGAGGAGGTAAGAGGAGGATGTGCTAGGTGGTCTGGGCCATGCCCTTGTCCAGGCCCCTGTGCCCTAGGAGCTGGCTCAGCCTGCCCTTCCCTGCCTGGCAGAGGGCTCAAACAGGTGCACCTCACCTCCTCAAACTTGTACGCAATCATGGCAAAGGCCTTGAAGATGGCGTCCGTTGGGCCTGTGATGGTCACAATCCTCTCCGGGCAGTTTCCCTCTGAGATGTTGATCCTGGCACCACTCTAGGGCAAGGGCAGAGCAAATGCTGCAGTAGCTGAAAGCCACCTGGGCAGTACCAACCTGGGCTCTCCAGGCCACAGATGGCCCAGTGTCTGGCCCTGAGCAGTGGGGCTCTTTCCACTAGTCTCCGTTAGTGGGAAACTTTAGTTAACAAAAGGAATCTAAGCCATCCCTAAGGATGCCTGTGCCCCACTCATCTAACCTTCTTGAATGCCATGTGTCAGAGGGAAGAGTGGCCCTCCTCACCCCAGGCCAGGCTTTCCATCCCAGTGCACATGGGTGGGATGAGCAGGCCCCCCGGGACAGGTGAAGCCCAGACCCTCCCGCATCCCAACTGGGGTACAGGATGCTGTCAGGACAAGTCACACTCACCTCTTCACGCATCTTCTTCACAGTCTCCCCTTTCTGGAATGGAGATTTAGACAACAAGGAAAAGTGTCACTGGCAGCTTTGTGTGGGGCACGTGGCCCTGGTGTGTCCCTGGCTCTGGCAGCTGCCTCTGCTGTGTGGGGTCCTGAGGGAGGCACCTGCAGCACAGCAGGGCCAGCCTCCATCCTGCCCTGCACTGGGCCAGCCCTTCCCTGACGACCTTGCCATCATCTCAGGTGAGGAAGCTGAGGGATGGGAAAGTATGTGTGCTCACTCAGTGGCACTGAGACTGTGGTGCCAGCAGGGCCGCACCATCTTCCATGAGTGGTGACTCCCTGAGAGGCCCTCTCCCCGAAGAACATGTGAGAAAGCTGGACATGGTCAACTGGAGGCTCCCCTGTAGAACAGTGGCAGTGGAGAAAAGGGACGTGGGGACCCAGAGATGGTCAGGGAAGGCAGTGCCCGGCAGCTCTTCTCCTTCACGAGCAACAAGCTTCCACACAGCCCCTTCCCTGTGGGACTCTTGCTTTTTAAAGATGGAAACACAAGGAAGATTCACCACCTTCTGGAGAATGCAAGCAAAAATGACCTGGAGTCACATACTCAGAAGATGGGTTGGCCACCAAGGCAGCGGGTGGTGGGTGGGGCTGCCAAAGTCCCCATCTGGGCCTTGCCAGGGCCAAGGAAGAATGCCTCCCCCTGTGCTGTCACCAGGGACCAGCCTCACATTGGAGCAGCCTGAGGCAGGAAGGGGTGCCAACGGGCTGAGTGGCAGTGCTCCCGGGGATCTCCGCTTCCCCAGCGCAGAGCAGAATGCCTGCTGGGGCTGTGCGGCTGCTGGAGCCAGCCCTCACCAGGGGCTGCCACTGTCCTCACCGTGTCCTTACAGAGACCCTGAAAGATGCAGAGTTCATTCACCAATTACCTTCCCAATGATGCTTCCGACTTCCTGTAGAAAAAAGAAAATCACAGAAAGATTATGTCACAGAGCAGAAGAGGACAATACTGGGGCAGATGCTGCAGAACCCACCCACCCTCCTGACAAGAGGGATTGGTATTTACTTATTCGTTTATTTACGTGGTGCGGGGGATGGAACCAAGCCTTTACCACTGGGCCATACTCTCAACCCAAGAGGGGAGAATTTGGACTACATGGCGGGGGCAGGCAGTGCCCAGTTGGGCTGTCTGTAGAGAGGTCCGTCTGTCTGAGACCAGGGCTGCTCTAAGCTTGACTGACTCTCCAGGAGGAGGATGCAGCCAGCTGCCCTCCACCAGGGATTCAGGAGGGCACTTGTACACTTGCCGCCTCAAGTAAATCCTGACTGTGACTCCCCGGAGGGCAGTGCCACACTGCTGTTTAAAAGACACAATACCAACACACGTACTGGCACACGCTGCAGCAACTGGTGGTGGGGCACATGTTGTTGCGGGGCTGGTACCAGTATCTCTCTGCACATAGGACAGCCCCAGAGAGGTCCCTGGGGCATGTCACTTGAGACAGGGCCAGCATGGCTTCCAGCCATGGAGAATGACTTCTTTCAAACCCTGACTCACTTTCCTCACCAACCTACACACTGCTCCTAAGCTATGGGGAGGGCGTGCATGCAGGATGAAGGAGCAGGGAGGGGAGCAGGGGCATGGGAGTACCCTCCTGTCACAGGCCCACTTCACCTCCTACAAGAGGGTATGGTGGCAGCTGGAGGGGACTGAGTAGCTGGCCTGCAGATAGTCGCATCAGGAGGAGGCCAGGAAGTCACTCTCCACCACAGAAATGGAGGTCTGAGAGTGCCCACGCTTGCCTAGAGGGATGTGCCCTCTGCAAAGCTGGCTGTGCCAGCCCCACCAGCTCCAGAGCCCAGCCTTGTGCTGCCTGCCATTCTGGGAGACACTGTGCAGACAAGAGGAGCTGGCTTTCTTGGGAACAGGCCCTGGGGGAACAGGCACCACCATGAGCCCTGTGCTGCTGGGATGGAATTGGAGGAGTGGACAACATGGACAGAGAATTCAGAGCGAGGATGTTGGAACTGTGTCTGTTCCCTGGCTCTGTGTAAGTCCCTCAGTGGCCAGGATCAAGGAGTGTTCCTAGGGCCCAATCCTAGCCTCCAAAATATTCTTGTGCACTCAAAGGAGTCCATTTCTAGAGACATGGCTGACTCGAGAATGGGGACCAGGAAAGGAAAAGATGAGCCATGAAGGGAGACAGTGCTGTAGGAGTGGCAAGGACCAGGAACCCTACAAGCACCACAGTGATCATAACAGTTACAGGGAAAAGTGGCCCATTGGATAAGGCAGAGGGCCCGAGTCCAAGTGGACCATGGAATGAATGAGTGTGTGGAAGGCCTGCAGCTGTAGAGACTTCCCAGCAGGGACTTTCTAACCATGGAGAGGGGGTGCTGCACACAGGGAGCGGGGCAGGAGCCTCCCACCCAGGGGCTCATGCGAACACCACCAGGAATGGGATGTGGTGACATCTGGGCCCACTGACAGGAAGGCTGCCGTGAATTCCTGTCAATGGCAGAGAAACATCCACCAAAGCCAAAGTGAGGGCCACGTCACAAAAACGCTGGACAGAAACTTGTACCAGTAAAAGTCAAAGGTGGAAGGAGACTGGAAAGAGGCGACAGGCTGTGCTCCAGTGCTGCCTGGACCCCTTGCCATCAAAGGCTGTGCCACACACACTGCTTGGCCTGCAGGGCCCAGGCGGGGCACATCTGCATGGATGCCCTGGCTCTGAGGGCCATTCAGAAGAAATTTGCCCTGGGGTACTCTGGGACAGGGCATTAGGCTGCCAGGTAGTCTAGAAGGGTTCCAGGAAAGTGTAATGGACTGTATTTGTAAGGCTTTGTAAGTCTGAGATTGCTTAGACTTAAAAAAAAAATATTATACAGAGCAAAGACCCCGGCAGTGGGATGTCCCCTTTCTCTGACAGCAACAAAGTCTCTGTACCTTTCCATGCATCAGCAGGCGAATTGTTAGGGTCACATTCAGGCCACCTTCAGAGACCTTGGACTCCATCTTTCTCCCAAAATGTGGATGGGGGTGATGGCTTAAGGTACTGAGGGTGCTGTGAAGAAGGATGGATGGGGTCCAGATGGCGTCACCTGGAAAGAGAAGGCAAGACGCTGACCACTGGGCAGATCTCCTCAGCTCAGGAACAACCTTCTGGCCTTCTGGGGCTCCAGCCTCCTGAGTGGGAGTGAACATACTGCCCTCACCTCCACTGGCTGATCAGGCTTCACCTGGGGGCATAGGTTGCCTGGCATCTTGGACATGAGCCTCTGGGAAAGCCCATGGGGCTAGTTCTGGCCCCACCTGACTAACCACATTACCTGGGCAGGTCACTGAAGTCTCTGTGAAGAGGGTCATGGGAGCAGCTCTCTCAAAGCCACAGAGTACAGAGACCACCCAGGAGTGTCCTGGAGACGGCCTGCCCTGTGCTCTCAGCTTGGCCAGCATGGCTCACCATGTAGTTTCAGTTCTGACCATTTCCCATCACATCTGGGAGCAGCTCCCTGATGGCCACCACATCACCTCAAGCAGCCAGAAGGGCACGTTTGCCAATGTCCCTGTGGTCTCAGGCCCACAGTCCTTGAAACTCATTCTCAAATGTGGACCCAGTCTCCAGTCACTAGAGATGCCAAACCACTGGCATCTCCTGACCAAAGCCATCGGCAGATGCTCTCTCTGATCAGGTCTGCACTGATCATATGCTTTCTGTGGCAATCACTCCTAGTTAGCCTGCCAGGCTAAATTAAGGCTTCATTTCACTCTTTACAAGCAAAGATGGATCACTGGTGGCAAGACGGAAGGCCTCATGGGAAAGGGACATGATGGCTTTGTGCTGCTGTGGTGACCTGCTTCCAGGCCCTTCCAGTGAGCTACTGGCCAACACTGGTCCCCACAGGCCACTGTGCCATTCCCTTCTAGGGGTCACCCAGCACAAGACAGAGCTACCCAGCCATGCCTCAGAGAGGATTAAAGAAGCAAGGGTTTGGTGGAGCAGCGAGGAGGAGGGAGTGGGGTCCTGCAAAGATTCTAGAAGCTAGAGGGTGAGAGATGCACATGCCCAGGAGATATTCTGGAACTGCCAGATGTGGGAGGAGTGGGGTGGAGGCACCTCAGGGGACCGGACTCTGATTCTGCAGCTGAAGAGTCCTGAGGCAGTGCAGGGTTAAGTAGCTCTCTGCAAGGGCATGCACACGCGCTCCAGCAGCCTGTGAGGTGCAGGAATGTGGCATCGGAAGTGGTTTGCATGGGGCACAGTGTGGGGCTGTGGGGGTCACCAGAGGGGAGAGGAAATAGGGCAGGGCACAGGATGGAACATGGGTATGGAGCGCCTCCACAGGACCTGGAGAATAGTCAGGTAGGTGGCAGCAGTGACAGGTGCTGATAGCAAAGAGTGGCTTATTGGATGTAGGGGCTGCTGGTTTGTGGGGTGCATGCAGTGCTGGGGGGATTTGGGCCAGGGTCCATGGAGCCCAGAATGGGGCATTTGGGGTACCATGGACAGAGGTGACAGGCCTCCAGGCTCCCTGCATACCTGCCCAGGTGTGTACCAAGAGAGGGGCAGTTGCTGGGAAGGTGAAGGGCGAGGCTGCAGCTCGCACTGGGAGCTCCTCACAGAGAGCGGCACACCTAGGTCTTCACCAAAGGAAAGCATTACCTGCAGGAATGTCTCATGGCAATCCTTCAGGGACAAAACCCCATGAAGCCCACCTACCCAGCCCCATGTGATGGAGCTGGGGACTGAGACAGGCACACACAGGAGAGATTGGGGCTTAGGAGTTGGGGCAAAATTTTTTCCTCATCAAAATATTTCTGCTAAAAAATACGCTAGAAGGAAAACAGAAAAATTAAGCACAGACACAGCTCGTTGGGTGTATAAGGGAGGTCTGCAAAGAGCAACCGCCGGTTATGCTTACATAGCATTGAATGCGGGTTTTACGTAGCAAAGAGGTTTTAAAAACCATTCTTCCACATTAGTGCTCTCTGTCCACTGGGTCACAAGCTGCCCTCTACATTAAGACTAAAATTCACTAGGCACCTAAGTGCTGAGCACACAGCCTCGTGTGACTGCTGGTTGCCCGGTGGGAGGCACGGGGGAGAGCTCCATTGGCCGGGGTGAGTGCACAGTCCCAGCAGAGCCCAGGCCCAGGCAGGGCACTCAGGAGGAAGGGTCTTGAGGGAGACAGGAATATCTTGCTCAAATGCACAAGTGCGAATATCCACAGAGACCCCCGGACAAGCCTGGCAAAACCCTTCTCTCAGATCTGCATTTCTGCTGAGGCTGATTCACCAGGTCCAAAGAACCCCTCGTGCTGTGGCCAATTCAGGGCTTAGTGCTTCCTTTTTAATTAAAGGCATCTCCTTCCACCACAGGGACAGCAGGGCCCTGCGGCGTCTGTTACATAAATGTTTCCAGCCCAGGGAGGAGAAAGTAGGTCAGCGCCTGCCCGGGGTGCTTCCGGCTCCAGGCTGTCAGCAGGGATCTGTCACACGGGCCAGCGCCTTTCCTCATTTGCAGGCAGGAGGGAGCCAGCACAGAGGTTCTGTGTACTGTAGGAATGGGGAGTTGTCCCATGGATAGATGAGGTCTCCTGGGACTCAGGACTTGATCCTGGGGAACACTCTGCTCCTACTGAAGCTCTGGGAGCCACAGATCTCTCTGAGGCACGTGGTGAACAAGCCCTAGCCCGTCTGCTGCTGTATCTGTTTATTCATGGGACCCAAGGGTGTCCCAGGCCTTGCTCCCACCCAGCGCACACTGACCCATCCGCCCAGAGCGTCATGGGCTATCAGAAAATAATGGACAAAAGGGTTCCAAAAGGACTCAACAGGAAGCAAGGGCCCACTGCCCTGCTTGGTCACCTGGAATCACAATGGATGGGCAGCTCCTCCTGGAACCCCTCCCCTACAGGCCTTCTAGAAGCTTCTTCTTCTGTTCTCGTCAGTGCCTGGGATTGAATGTGTTTTTTGGTAGTGGTAGGGAGATTGAGGACTCAACCCAGGGGTGCTGACCCACTGATCCACATCTCTAGCCCTTTTAATTTATTTAGTTTTTATTTTGAAAATGGGTCTCACTAAATTGCTAAGGCTAGCTTTGAACTTGGCGATCCTCCTACTTCAGCTTCCTGGGCCTCTGGGATCACAGACCATGCCTGGACTGAACATGTTTTAATTCACTTAACAGGAGGTAGAGGAGGACCCGGCAGAGTCTGTGCCCCCCAAGCCCCCCACCCACACCCAGCAAGCCTGTCCAGTCTGTGGCTTCAGTGCCACTCCATGCAGATACTGCCTACAGGTGTGCCTTGGCCTGGCACACACCTGGACTCCAGATTCCCAGGGCAGGGCCCTGGGCCAGCTGCATGGATTTCCAGTAGGTACTGCATGCGATATGGGCAAGGCACCGAACTGAACCCTTTCCAGGCCATCCACCCACCTGTCTGTCTCCGCACAGCCCCCACCTGCTCAGCCCAACCACCTTCCCCGTTCACCACTCTGCCCTTCATCGACAACTCTCAGGGGCTCTACCAAGCAACACTGACCCCACTGGCTTCCTGTTCTCTCAGAGTCAAGCCGAGTCCATATCTCCCGACTCAACAGCCATAGATTCTGAGGGTAAAGGTCTCCATCATCCCTCCACCCTTCTCCCCAGAGACCTCCATCATGGGGCCTCTCTGCCTCTGCCGCCCCCTTACCTTAGAAGCTGGAAGCCCATCTTTCCACAGCTCAGTCCTGAGACCCTCATCTCTCACGGCCCAGGAACTGCCCTGTCAGTGCACACAACAGTCCTGAAGTGCCACACTGGTTGGAAACAGCCACTAACAAGGAGAGCGGTGATGGCAAGCACAATGACAGTGCCACCAAGAAATGCAAAGGCCGAAGGGAAGAAAGGAGACCATATATTTAAGAAGACGAGAAAACCCCAAACAAAATAAACCAAAGAAATCCACACAAATATACATCATGGTTAAATGTCTAAAAATCAAAGACAAGACAGAGTGGCAGCAGCAAGTGGGGACAACAGGAGTCAAAGGCCCCTTTCCAGTAGCTGCAGGGGCACAGAGACCCCACAGAGAGCTCTCAGGGGCTGCCCCTCACATCCAGGAGCTCGGCTGGCAGAGGGAGGTGCAATGTAGAGAGGGAAGAAGGAACACAGTAGGCAAAAACGGGAAATGCAAAAGGCCTCTGCTTTCCTGCTGAGTCTTCAAAACGACCTTTTGAAACTACTTTCCTGTCTGATATGAACAGTATGGTTAGGAAATACCTGAAATAATTATAAACAGGATAGGACGAATAATTTTAGAGTGGGGTTTGGTTTCTATTCTTCCCACAAACTAGTAAGGTCGTAAGATAGTAGCAGTCTAACTGATAAGTCCTATAGATAGAAGGATATAGATACAGACACAGAGATACTGCAGCAATGATTAAAAACACACAAACGCAAGCACAAACCCAAAAGACTACTGGAGCACACCTAAAAATACTATCAAAACGTATCAAAAAGACAGTAAGCCACAGGAAGCCTGGCGAACAAAACCTAAAAACAAGAGGAGCAAAAAAAAAACAAACAAAGAGAAAACAAAACAAAACAAAAAAATGAAACAGCAGACTTAAGTCTTAACATCTCAGTAGCTACTCCCAATATAAATGGTCTCATTAAAAACAAAGTGGACTAAAAACATGGCCCTGTCCCATGCTGTCTATGAGAAACTCATTGTGCCACCAAGAACATGCCACGGGCCAGCACCATCCCTTCAGCAAGGGGGCTGGGAAACTGTCCACCCAAATGCAGGAAAAGAAAACTGGAGGTTTATCTTATACCATATATATATAAATTTAAAAAATCAAAATGGGATTAGACTTAAATCTAAGACCTGAAACTATAAAAATATTAGAAGAGAATACAGGGAAAAAAGCTTTATGACTTTGAGCTGAGCAATGACTGCTTTAGATATGACCCCAAAAGCCCAGCAACACAAGTGAAAATAGAAGTGATTAGATGAAAATAAAATGTGCACAGCAAGGACATATTCAGGAGAATGGGGAGACACTCTGCAGAGTGGGAGGAAAGACCTGCAACCGAATCCCTGATACAGGT